GTTGTGCCATGGGAGGCATGGAAGGGCAAAGATGTAAGAAAGACCACTGATCTTCTAGTTGAGTTCTAGAGTTGACATAGAGCATTTTAGAAAAGAGAGACCAAAGTTGCTAACTTACACTAGATTAGTGCTTTTTTAGACTTGGTCCAAGACTCAAAGCATAAAATGAATTTTACAGTTCCATACCATTTGCATCTATGAACACAGGAAATCTGCCAATAGCAGATGAGTTCATCCGAGCTTTGATTTAGCTGTAAACAGTATTTGATGTAATTAGCCTTGGTCTCAGTGCTGACAGCAGACCTGTTCCTCTTAGAATGTGTGCATAAGCTTTCCAGCCCTGTTGTAGGTTGTGACCTGTTGTCAGGTTGTAACACAGCTGTAACTGCACTTTTGTGTCCCTTCATGGCTGTTTAAGTGGACATCAAGGAACTATGAAAACAAGGGATAACGACCAATCAAGTCAGGAGTTCTCAAACTTTTTGATGTCAGGGCCTTTTTATACCCTTAAAAGTTACTGAGGTGGGAGTGGGAGTGTAGCTCAGAAGTAGGGCATGGGTTCAATCCCCAGCACTGAAAAAGAAAAAGAAATTACTGAGGACCACAATGAACTTTTATTTATTGGGTTATAAAGAATTAAAATTGAGAAATTTACTAATACTTACGAACTCATTAAAAATTTTGCATGAAAAAAAAAAAATTTTGCATGAAAACTACATTTACATTTTTCAGTGAGAAAAGCAGCACTGTTTTACATTTTTGCAGATTCCTATAAATGTCTAACTAGAAGACACCTAGATGTTTACATCTGCTTCTGCCCTCATTCTGTGGCAATGCATTGTTTTGGTTGAAGTGTATTTAAAAATTGTCCTAATACAGATATGCCCATTGCATCCCCTGGCCTGTCTTGGGTGAAGAATGGACAAACCCAACTAGAGCTTTGCTTCTTGCCTCCCCGTTCCTGAATTCTTACTCCAGAGAGTTGAGCTGCTTTCTCAGATTCTCTGCTTGTCCCCCACCCTTGCACATTGCAAGTGCACTCTCTGTCTTGCTCCTAGAGCCTTGTTGTCAGTCCATTTAAGTTCTGGTACTCAAGTCACTATTAGGCTCCACCCCAAAATTTGATCTATCACAATACTGTGAGTTATTGCAGCTCACGAGTTTTGACACGACACATTATGGTAATCCATGGCACATAGAGACATTAACACTCCCGACTTTGACAAAATACATTGTGAAGTCTTTGAAGGCACCATTACAATTTATCTTGTCATTCAAGTGGAGACCCAGTTCAGCATTAATGTAGATGAACACAGTATGGCTTTTGTTTCATTTAATTGCTTGTGACCTTTTTAATTGCTAATTTAACAAAATACCAAAGGGTTATATTTCAATTAAATTAATGGTCTAGAGAGTGAGGGGTTTTTTGTATGTTTATTTTTAAGGCATTCTGGCTTTCTCTGCTTTTCACTTTGAGAAGATAAAAATGTCTTGTCTTGAATAGCAGTAGACTTTTTAATTTGAAGTTCATAGTACAGTAATAATTTTAACATGCAAATGGTGCGGTGCCAAGCATCTTTCTTGTGCGGCTGGGTTCACCCTTTTCCAGAAGGATACAAACAGTGCAGGTATACACAAGTCATAGAACTTCTCTGGTTCAGAAGCATGCTTCTGATATAATGCGTTGCTTTAAGTGTTTGTTTTTAGATAAAGTGCCTATTGCATGCACCATTTGTTGGGCACTTCTCTCTGCCTTGTACTGTTTTCTTTGTGTTCTGTAGTTCGTTTATAAGCTCCTGAGGATCAGGAGCCCTGCCTCATCCTCACCAGTGCCTTCCCCCCATCTAGCACACTGCTGGCATGGGGAGACAAGATTGCAAGTCACATGAACACAGAGACATGCCACTCCAGGCAGTGGCACCCCTGGGCCTACTTTCAGAAATGGCCCTTCACCTCCAAGGCCAGCAGTGTTTCATTCAACAGATAACCGCCTTTGGAGTGGGCACTGTAAGCTAGAGGCACGCACAAGACTGTTCCTTCCCTACTCCCCCAGGTGCTGTTGCCCTTCTGGCCATAAAAGCAAACACGCCCCTTGTCAGCGGGAGCAAGGCTCAGAACTCACCCGAGTATCAGGGGGACTTAAATCCTCAAATGGGATATGAATTTACACTGGCAGAGAGTAGAAGGTCAATGCATGAAGCATTAGCGTGTTGAGCCAGCTCCAGCTATATAAGACTTGAACAAAATTAATACAAGGAAATTGACAAGCTTTGCTGGTTATTCCATAGCTTTAAGACCTCTACTAAAATCCTATCATCTCATCTGCCCATTATTAACATTTCAGCAAAATATAAAGTTTTCATTAATCTCCCACAGCAAATTTAGAAGTGAAAACTGGCACTTGTTTGAGCTTTTAGGACTACATTAGCTGGTGTATTAAACAAAATGTGTCATTCTTCAGTAGCTTCTGTAAGAAGCTAAATCAATTTCCAGCCATATTTATGCACCACTTTATCTAAAAGCATCTGAATTATCATTTACAGCTAAGATGCTTTATTAGCAGCTGGCATTGAAATTGCTCAGTAAAAAATTATATGTCACGTTATAGTAATTTTTAAATTGGTTTTAATCCAACAACATAAAACATAAAAACTCTTAAGTTTGGATTTTTTTGTAGTAATTGGCATTTTAGCATAATGAGCTGTTACCTCTTTCCAAATCAAATACTTGCAACATTTAAAAAAATACTAATTAATAAAAAGAAAAAAACAGAAGTCTGGAGCTCGTAGCTAAGCTATCTCTAATAATGACATTATTGCAGAAAAGATGACTTTAAATGACTTGTAAAACATTAAAAGATTTTAATATCTTACTAAAGCTCCCTATAATTTTCATATATAAAAATTCTCTAACATAGAAGTAAACATTTTGGAAGTTATGTTTCAGTGGAAATGTAGGTTGAATAAAGTGAATGATTGTTCTAAATTCTAACGCTTCACCAGCCTCCCAGTTCAGATGTGCACATTACTCAGAAGATAGCAGTGACTATGATCATGGCTCCTCTGCCTAAAATCACACACGTTGCGGAAAAGTAAACAGGTTACCCAGCAGCCCTGTCAGACATGGAGCACAACCTCACTGTCCCAGCAGTGTGATGTTGGCTAAGTCACTTGGCCTCCTGATTCTCACCTTCCTGTGGCGATGGCACCTGGTATCCATCCAGTACATCTTACTGAGCTCTTGTTCTCTCCGCTGCACAGCAGTACTGCCAGGGTCTGGGCTGCAGTGGTAATTGACACAGTCTCTATGCCCACCCTTGGGGAGTTTTCAGTCTAGTGGCAGAGACAGATAATTACTGCCTGAGCTAACTGTTCTGAGAAAAGATGCAGGGTGCAGTGGCAGAAGGAACTGAACCACACTTGTGGACCTCCGGTCAGGAAGGGTGGCCTGGACCATCACGAGCTGAGCTCTTCAGGAGAAATAGGGAGGTGACCAGGAGGGACTGAGACGGGGAGAAGGGTGACCTGAGCAGAGAGGACAGCGTGACAAGACACTCTCAGATGGGACTCTCTCAGAGGCGTCCTACTTCCTTACCAAGGGGAAAGCCTTATTGAGCTTCTAAAATTGTCCAAGATAGAAATAACTACAGTGTTTGGAAATAATACATAATTCCTAATAAATACATTCAGTGTGAAAGCATCAGAAACCAACTTCCATGTGTGTGCTCATGTGCTGCCGGGATTGAACCGAGGGCCTTGTGCAGGCTAGACAAGTGCTGTGCCACAGAACTACACTGCCAGCCCCAGAGAACAACTTCATAAAAAACTTGCCTTATGGGCAGCGATTGTGAGAAGTAAACGTGTGTGATTGTCAGGCTGCCTGTTACATAACAGAATTTTCCAGTTTGATACCCAATTCCCATTTATCACCCCTCCACACACCCTGAGGAGCTGTCGGAGTTACCCTGTAGAGCCTTTGGGTGCTCAACACTAGGCAGAGCCCTCTGCTGTTTTGCCCCTGCTAGACAGGGGCTGCCTCACCCCAAATGGCACCCGCAGTTCCACCTTCAGAAGTCCACATTGCAGCCTCTGGGGACCAAGAGATAGTTTGCCTTTTTTAGTGTGAGCTTGGCCATGTGACTTAGCCACCCAAAGCCTTGGAGAGGAGAGGCTTGGCTGAGAAAAAAGTGTGCTGCATTCAGGAAGCCCTGGGAAGCCAGGGGAGGTTTGTGAGCACCAGTCTTCCTGCGGGTCTCCCATGTCACGTGTCAGAGTACTTTGCGTGTACAAGGCTCTCACTCACCATTTGATGAGTAACTGAATGATCAAACCTTTGGAGAGACGAATCAAAAGGTCTTGTGGTGGCTGGATGGCAGAGGGAGCCTGGTGGATAGAAGACCAGTGAGGTGATTGTCACAGACATCCAAGGGCCCGCAGGCTGTGTCACACACGCCAGCCAGCAGAGGCCATGGGGCACGGAGTGAAAAGCTCCTAAACAGGTGGCTTGGCACAGGGCTCCTTGAAGGAGCATGGGTTACTTCTGTGGTCAGGAAAATCACATGTGTGATTAGAAAACCAAGTGTGAGGCCAAGGATATAGCTCAATGGCACAAGCACCTGCCAGGCAGCACAAGGTTCTGAGTTTGATTTCCTGTACCAAAAAAGACAGAAAACTTAGTGTGATCACCCATGTTGTTGTGTGACCCTTGTGGAGACTGTGCTCCTTGCTGAGAGCAAGCAGGGATTTTTCTGTCCTTCTCTCCTTGCTGCCCAGCCAAGGGCCTGCCACAGAGTAGGCAGTGTTTGTGGAATTAATTGTTGAATGATTAATATGTTACCATTCTCTGTTTACTGGAATGGCATTATTAAGTCATCGCTCAGCCTTTTCTTCTCCAAATTAAATAGCCCATATTATTTTAATTTATCCCAAAGCATTTTAAGCAGACACCATTTGCCAAGCCTCATGTATCTTTATGTGTTAAAGTGCTTGTTTCCTCCCCAGGTTCAAGGGCAGATGGAGTTTTTGAGGAGGATTCACAAATTGACATAGCTACAGTACAGGATATGCTCAGCAGCCACCATTACAAGTCATTCAAAGTCAGCATGATCCACAGACTCCGATTCACTACCGACGTGCAGTTAGGTAAGTGCATAAACAGGTGACAAACTAAACTCTATTAGTAGTCAGTGCAGAAATAAGAAAAGATCGGCATACTACTTCCGTGTGACCTGAATGACTGACAGTTACCTGTTTTCTGAGAATCTGTTTAAACAACGAAATTTAAAGTACGTCCTTTTCCCCCGCCTGAGTGTTCTGTCTTGTCTTCTTGTTTATGAAGCAGAAGATTGGAAATGGAACCAGCATGAGCCTCTTTTCAGACTGATAGGCTTCTGTGAGGCTCTGCGATGCTTCCTGTCCTGCAGTTCCCTCCGCGCAGCGCCTCCTCAGGACCGCTGTGTAATCGCGCTGCTTGCCCAGCCCTGCCTGCCCAGCCCTGGGAGGACATGCTGATTCATTCAGGAAGCTGCTTTAAGGATCCCCGAGGTTCTGTTGGGAGCCTCACTAGATAACCTGGAACTAACTTGCAACTAATATTTGGGGTTAATTTGTTCCAATTAAGTGCTAAACTTTTATTTTGACTTAGACCCAACTGGAATAGAAAAGGTGCCATGGGGGGCTGGGGATTTAGCTCAGCGGCAAAGCGCCTGCCTGGCAAGCGCAAGGTCGTGAGTTCGGTTCCC